CATGATGGATTATACCATGGAACTGTGAGCTAACAGAAACTGCTTCCAAAATTTCCTTTTGTCAGGGTGTTTTGTCACAGCAATGAGACAAGCAGCTTACACAGTAAGTGAATCTTCTTGAATGTTATATGTGGAGAGATTTCAACTTCTTATGAAGAATATGATTAATACAATTCTTTCACCAATTTTTGAAGAACATTACTATATTGCTTGTGAATTCTCTCATCTTCTTTAAGAAATCCAATTATGTATACAAAATGTGCACATGGTGTTCTCTTCATTTCCATACTTCTATATTTCACCTTCAGTTACATTTGTGCTTTGTTTTGAGTATTTTTTTTTTCAGAACAATTTTAAACATTTTCTTAAATATCTTTTCATGCACTATATTTTGATCAGACTCCTTTCCCCCAACTCCTCCCAGATCTTCCCCATTCCCCTATCTACTCAACTACATATTCTCTCTCTCTCTCTCTCTCTCTCTCTCTCTCTCTCTCTCTCTCACTCCAACCAAGAATGAAAATCAAAACAAACTAAACATACATACACACACACACACACACACACACACACACAGAGAGAGAGAGAGAGAGAGAGAGACTCCCTTTTGTTGGCCAGCTATCCCTGGGCATTGGGCCTGTCTTGGAGTGTGGTTGAGGCACCCAGTGCCACTCTGTTGTGGAAAACTGCTTTTCTCTTTCCCAGCAGCTGTCGATTGCAAATAGCTTCTTGGTTAGAGGTGGGACTTTGTGTCCACTTCCCCTTAGTATTTCTGGGATTTTTGAGGCTAATTTTTAATGAATTAATTAATTTTGAGACAAGATCTCACTATGGCTGGCATGGAATTTGCTAGGTAGACCAAACAGGTCTCAAACTCACAGACATATGCCTGCCTCTGCCTCCCAAGTGCTGAGATTAAAGGTGCATGCTACACCCAACCTGGGCCAACTGTTTTATATTTATTTTCAGTGTATGAGTATTTGGCCTGACTATATGATTATGCACCACTTCAGTGACTGGTGCCCACTCAGTTCCAAAGAAGGCATTGGATCTCCAGGAACAGGAATTACAGATGCTTATGAGACACCATGTGGATGCTGGCCCCTGAACTCAGGTCTTTTGTAAGAGCAGCAAGTACTCATAACCTTTAAGCTCACTCTCTAAACCTTAGAACAACTTGCAAAGAGTCGCTAAGTAAAACTCCAGCTTTGTTTTAGCTACTAGAGAAGCCTTTCTGTAAGTGTGGGGGGTTGTTGTCTCTGTAGTTTTACTTCTAGAAATTCAATTTGGATTTTTAAAATAGTTTCCAGTTGTTGAATAAAATGCTCAATCTTGTCTTTTATATCTTTTAATGTAGTATAAACATAGTTATTTTAAAGTCTCTCTGAAAATTGTACCATGTAGATCCTTAATGGGCTGTTTCCACTGTCCGATGATTATGATAATGTGATTTTGCAGCTACTTATGTTTCATTTTGCACTTAATATATGTGAAAAATATAAATCTGCTTTGTAGCTTATGATAGTATTTCTAGCATCCCGAAAGAATTGTATTGCTTTGTTTTGTTGCAACTACCTAGAGACATTAGCAAAATCAGACCACCTTAATCCAACTGCAGGGGCTGAAGTGATTTAAAACCATGCTTTGTAGCTTCACAGTTAAGCTCTGGACTTTTATTCCTAGCTTGTAATCCTTAAGGATTCTTTCAACCCAAAGTATGATTTCTTACTGGAATTTCTCTCCTTGGCATGCCTCAGAATCTGATTATCTTATGCCTTGGCCCATAGCAGCTTCTCAATTCCAGCTGCAAACCTGATTCAAAGGCCATGCTCTACTTTCTCCAGGTTTTTGTCATTTGACATCTCTAATTGCCTTCAGCATTCATCGTTTACAATTTGCCCCGTCAAAATTATCAGTGAAAAAGCTGATGCTCACTCCTTAATTCACCATTAGATGGAATGTGAATCATTTAGAAAATGAGTTTAAATGCTTTATTAAGTAAATTTTCTTAGGAGGAAGATTTTCCACCAATAAATCTTATTTTCTTTTTTTATTTGAGACACACTTGTAATCCAACTCTTCAGGGGGAGCAGACAAGGGAACATGATCCCAGCCAGGCTGCACGACACAGAGAGACTCTGCTTAAAACCACCACAACAAAATATAAACAACAACAACAAAAAAAAGATTTAGGGTAAAATAACTAAACAGTGCTAGTATGTGTTACATATCTAAGATCATAGTACTCTGGAAGCTGAGGCGGAAGGATTGTGAGTTCTAGTCCAGCCTGGGTTTCATAGGTGAGACCTTGCTTCAAAAAGGAAGCAAACAAAAAGTACTTGAGAAAAAAATGCTTATATTTATAAACTAAACCCAGATTTAAAGTATGTTTATAAAAGCAAATTCCAGAGATTTACTAAAACATTTAAAAATTTTTTTATGAAATTAAAATTATGAAATATTTTACTAATTTATTTTAAAACCTTTTCTATTTTATTTTTTTTTCTTCACAACCATATAAATAATTTTAAGGATAGCCTCTATAAAGATGCACACACATGTATTTTTAAAGAAGCATATCATATGTTTCCCTATGGTTTTGGAAATACACATACTCATGTGCATAGTTTAAATGAGGTTATGACACACTCCGGAGATAACCCTCCCCTGAGAGTCATAGAAAATGCAACAGAGAACCCCACAGATCAAAACTGATGTCTTCCTCAATCGCTTACATGGGAATCACCATTTATGCTAGACTGGCTGACTAGCAGGCCCCAGGGATCCTAGTCTCTCTGGCTCCCCACCACTGAGATTACATATTAAGCCATGTCCCTGCCCCTGTTCTATTTTTGATAGTAGAATTAACTATTCACAATAAAAAATAAAACACCATAGATTTTCCTGTCCGTTCTGTAAAAATGAGAATCATGTGGCTAAATCTTGACCAATTGGGCCTAAGGAAAGGATTCCTGGGGACTAGAAACAAATCTGTTGCTGAGATTCTAGAGACAACAGTGCATGAAAATGGAAAGCAGAAAGATCATACAAAAGTTTTTGAGCAACTAAATTAAGAATAGTTTTATCTTTGCATTCCTGTTTATAAAACAAAACATTAACATCATTACTTCAGTTCCTCCTACTTGGGTCTTCTGTTATTTGTAGCCAAAGAAGCATACTTAATAAAACTATAATGATTTGTGTGTGTGTGTGTGTGTGTGTGTGTGTGTGTTTTCAAGACAGGGTTTCTCTGTGTAACCACCCTCGTTGTTCTCGAACTCACTCTGTAAACCAGGCTGGCCTCAAACTGACAGAGATCTGCTTGCCTCTGCCTCCAGAGTGCTAGGATTAAAGGTGTGCACCTCCACAGCCTGGCCCACAATGATTTTTAAAGTATGTCCTCAAAATTATTTGAAATTTCTCCCATTGAGAGACTATTGAAGTTGCTTATTGAGTGTATGGTGTGTTTCCCTGAATGTATGTATGTGCACCATGTGAGTGCCTAATGCCTGAAGAGGCCAGAAAATGGCGCTGTGTCCCCTAGAATTGGAGGTACAGACAGCAGTTAGCCAGAACATGGATACAGGGATCCAAACTTAGGTCCTCTGCAAGAACAGTGCGTGTTCTAAACTGCTGAGTTGTCTCTCCAGCCCCAATTACATTTTTTTTGTAGTACTCCTGCATGAGCCATAACATAGAGAACCATTAAAAACCATACCATCAAGTTAACAGCTCTATTTGATTCAAAGTTCATAAATAATAGAGAGGGCTGAATTGGGGGTCCTGGGATTCAGGAACCTAAAGGTTCAGTTAACAGCTGTATAAGCTTTACAGGTTACTTCATCTCTCTTAATTCATGTTTTACTTGTAAAATAAGAGAAAGGGATTAGAAAACTAATGAGCCTGTAGTGGGCTGCATATTTCTTCTAACCAAAACACTTCCACATTTGAATCCCAGAATGTGAAAATGTGCTACTTAATTTGCATGGCAAAAAGCACTTTATGGATGTGGTTAGAACTTACACCTCCAAAACAATGAAATGATGTTCGTGTTACTTTAAACCACTGTATCTATGGTCATCCATTATAGCAGTATGAGGAAGCTCACACAGTGTTGAAGACCTTGAGTTTTGCTATCAGATGACAGTATTTGAGCCGATAAAGCTCTTCTAACACATGCTGTATGTAAGGCCTTGGGCAAGTCACTGAAAATCTCTGCACTTTAGCTACATCTTTAATAAGGGGACAAGGGAAGTATAAGTCTCAATTATTGAGAATTTGAGGAAAATCTAAGAATCAGCCACAATTTAGTATTCCTAAAATAAGTGTAAACAGGATGCTTCTGCTAAGGTTTATAATTCAATTTAGGGCATTTGCTCCTTTTTCAACAGTCTTGCATTTCTTTATTAAAACAAGAAAGGTCTTGACAGAAGAGGAGCATCAACTTTAGTTGTGTACACTATCTTATCTGATCCTTATAACTAGTCACAAAGTAGAGGTGATTGTTTACCACTTGAGAAGAGTGAATGGAGGAACTATATTTTTCAAAGTCAGTAACTAGTACACAGAAATCAAAGATGATAGCTCACTTGCTATATTCATTTGCTGGGTAACTGTGGATGAAAATTCAGTGCATAGGACCACAGCAGTGATCCCTAAAGCACTTGTGCTGAGTCTAGCCTGGCTGATACAAGGTCATTCTAACTAATCCCCACAGATGCTGTTAGAGCTCTTAACATGGACCCTTTTATTTTCAGAAGACAGGCCTGGCCAGAAATACACTCTAGGCCTAGGAAGTACCTTTAGCTGTGTTAAGAGGATCAACTCAACCAAAGCCCCTCCTCCCTGTCCTTTGATCCCCGCCCCGGCCCTCTCCGTCTCCTCTCCCCCTCCTGTGGGGTCCTTGGAAGTGCGACACAAAGGCGGGGCCTACGTAGAAAAAAGCCCTAGGCCATAAATGGAGGCGGTGCCTCACGGAAGGCCGGGGCGCAGCAGCGACTGCGGAGCTCTCGACTGGAGCTTTGCTCCGCCCCCGGGGACTGCCATAGCCACCATGGAGGAGTACCACCGGCCCTGCGACGAGGTACCGCCCCCCTGGAGCCGGGAAGCGCCCCTCTCCCTGGTTATGGGGACGCTGTCGGGTGGTCTATTAGTATTCGCAGAGTTAGGATGCGGAGTCTGAACCTGAGTCTGTTCCGCGGAACCGGGATCCTTCTTGTCCCTCGGCTCTCTGTCTCCCCACCCCTGAAAGCCTGAGGGTGGGCTGATTGATCATCGCGATGGCTTGGGTGACAGAAAGCTCTTGGGGGCTGTCAGCGGGGTCTAGGAGGACCTAGTAGGTTTAAGGGGAGGCCTAACTTGGGGTGCCTGGGCGGGCGTTGGCGAGCCCCGCCCGTCTGCGATCTGGGCCTGGGAAACCGGTTTTTCTGTTTCCTCCACCCTTTTGGGTCTCCTTGAGCTGGTGCTGCAAGAAGGCTCTGGTCCTGGGAACTCTCCCCAGGGACAGCTAGAGGAAGTGCTTTATGGATTAAGGGCCCTTGCTCACTGGTTCAGGTTTCCCTAAGCCTCACCAGAACTCCATGATGTCAGTGATTTTCCTGTTACTGATGGGAACTCTGACTTTTAATGGCGACCAAGAACCAGGCCCCTAGGTCACACTGCTAGGAGTGACAGATGTTCCATTGGAACCCAGGTCTCTGACTTTACACTTCAGCCCATGTTTCCAGGATGAGGTTTGTTGAATTGCCCCACAGCCTGTAAGAGTTTCCAAGGACAGAGTAGACAGACATTTTCTGTCCAGTGGTACAAGAAAATGAAATATGAGATAGTGGAGGTGCAATGTAATATGATCCTTGTAAGGGGCTTCTCCAATGTGAGAGTTTCTGCCGAAGACTCTGTTGCAGAGAGCATGCATACATGTGAATCAGTGGTAAAGCACACTAATGTTATAAATAAGGACTTGCCCCCCCCCCAAATTATATGATTAGCTCTTCCTCAGATTTACCTTTTAGCAAGGATGCAAGGGAATCTTTTCTGCACTACTTCTTAAACACGTGTAATTTTAAAAGAAATAGGATTAGAGAGTCAGCTCATCGGTAGAGTGCTTGACTAGCACATTAGATGCTCTGAGTTCCATCTCCAGAACCAGAAAAAAAGATGGAAAACCAACAGACATTATTCATGTTTCCCTGGCCAAACAAACTTTCCAAATTGTAGTAAAATGTGCATCATTTATTTCTTAGGCCAATTTTGGATGTGATTTTAAAGCAAAAATGGCTATCATAGGACTAAAATATGAGACCTCTTTTGTGGGAAATTTTTTAGGATAATTAGTAGAGTTAAAATATGAAAATCTATAATTAAAACGTAACTTCAGAATTTACTTATTTCAAGTGGTTGTAAATTGCACAGTGGTTTTTAAAACACAAAAGTACTGTTTTCCCAATGCACCCCAAATATCTCCATGGAAATCATTCTTACATTAACTAAAGCATCCTGGCTTATACTTCATTCTTGACACATAACCTAGTTTCGCACTCAAGGACACTTAGATGTCATTGAAAATTGCCATTAACCCACGATTTTAACAAGCTGCTCCAAAAAAAGTGAGAGAACAACTTATACAATTAAAGTGACATTAATTTTGAATGGCAGAGTATTGCCGTAATCTTTAATTTGGAAAAGCAGTGGGTTTGTCTCATACCAGTTCAAAATAAAATTGGCAATGATAATTTAGCATACTTTTTTATGGGTCACTTTATCTAGCTGAAATGATTTCCTGTATACTGATAGCACACAATCAAAATCATTTATAGCTACTGCCTGCTAATTTCTTGAGCTTTATAATGCAATGATTATCTTGAATGTTCATTAGAGTCGCTATTGCAAAAGCACTTTTCAAAATGGTATTTGCTTAGGTCCTGCCCAATCGTAATGGATCTGATTCTACAGGGAGTAGAATAGCAACCTCAGTAGTCCCTAGCATTGTGTTCTTCTGTCACTATCACTTTTTTTTAGGCCAGTCGAGGGTATCCTGTATCTTGCCATGTCTACAAATAAAGGGAAGCCTTAATTAAAGCAATTTTATCTTTTCCTCTTTAGGTTGGCTTCAATGCTGAGGAAGCACATAATATAGTCAAAGAGGTGAGTTATATTTGCTCTTATCTCCAAGCTTGTGTGGGTGGAAAAATTTTAAATCCAGGTTTTGATTTTTCATGCCAAAGTAGGAAATGTTAATACTCAAACATCAAGATTTAAAAATATCTATTCAAAAAAATAAAAATATCTATTCACTTTTTGTAGGGGTGTGTGTGTGGTCTTTTGCTTTCAGGGAGGCCTATTTGGACCTTTTCTGAAAGACACTCTGCAAGGAAGTTTCAAGTCTACAAAAAGGAAAGAAGCTGTTTTTTAGAATCAATTTTTAACTAAATACCTTTACTGATTCTAGTGTTATCAATAAGACCACCTTGTGGTTATCAATGTAGCCTGCCTGTGGGTGAGGTTGTCAATACAGACTACCTGGGGTGAGGTTATCAATATAGATTGCCAGTGGGTAAGGTTATCATTATAGACCACCACCCTGTGATTATCAATTTAGACTACCTGTGGGTGAGGTTATCAATATAGCTTACCCTGTGGAGGTTGAGGTTATCAATATAGCTTACCCTATGGAGGGTGAGGTTATCAATAAAGCCTCCCCTGGGGATGAGGTTATTAATATAGACTTCCCTGGCAGTGAAGTACTTTAAGAGCACTCTTACAGTCCAGAGTCCTCATTAACTCTGACAGATCCTAGGTAAAAAAATGCTGAATTGGCCCACCCCAAAGCTTGCTTTAGTTGTGGGTATGGATCTTGGGGCCTATGTCCTAGCAAGCCCTGACTGAGTTCTGTCTGGGCTGCATTGGCCCCACCTTCTGGGCACTGAAGGCCACCAATTCACCTGCAGAGAATTCAAGGGTATCATCTCATCCAGAGCTCAGCTGCCTGACCCTGTGTGAGTAGGACTGGCTCCATGTCTCAGGGCTAAGCAGCACCAAAAACCATTGCTGTATTTTAATAGTTGAAGAATTGTGGATTAGAACATTTAACTATTTAAAATATTTAGACACCATATTATGTAAATATATGTTTAGGACTATTTTATTAAACTAAAATGCAAATGTTTTCAATACCATCACAATGTTAGAGCACAAGGAAGAATAGTTGGAAGGCACAGGTAACAATAATCTTATTTTTCTAAGTAAAATGTCAAGAGAGACTGTCTTTGGCTGATAGACATGAAATAAAAGATGCTGAGGCTTTGGAAGAGCCACTTTAATATATTTTCTTTACCCAAGTTTTGAACCACCTGAAAAGACAAGTGTTGACATGAAAAACTGAAACACCACCTTTATTGTAGATAAAACTAGTTTGATGACTGTATCATGTTTTACTAGCCTCTGCTCAGTTCTGAACTTGTAATACTGGCTTTGCAAGCACACGAGGGAAAATTTGAGTCAGTAGAGAGAAACACGGGATAATGTGGAAATGGAAGGACAAATGAAAACCCAAGTGCACGATGCTTGGGAATGTGATTTTCTCTCATGAGTATGGTAGAACAGTGCTGATCACTCAGCAAACAGGTAACTTATTCCATCTCCATAGGAAGGAATGATGCAAGAAATAAGACATAAAGAATGGTAGACATTTTTTTCTTTTTTGGTGTGTGTGTGCGTGCATGTGCAAGGAACTGTAAAACATGAGGAAAAAAATGTCAGTGTAATGTGTTGAAGTAAATCTACTGAGACCTCTATCTTGAGAGAAGGAATTGGAAGGGAGCTAGTGGGAAGCTAAATTTTCACCTATTATAGGAGTTCTACACATGCCTATAGCTCATACAGCAAGAAATAGTGGTAGACATGTTATCTGGAGTTACATGTTATTAACTGCTTCTTAAACTGGTGTGTGTGTGTGTGTGTGTGTGTGTGTGTGTGTGTGTGTGTGTGTGGTTAAGTGGTACCAAAAACTACTAGATGCATTTTACTTCTTTTCTTGTTTTTTTTTTTGTTTGTTTGTTTGTTTGTTTTTGAGATAGAGTTGTTATATGGTCAGGATGGTCTCCAAGTTGTCATACTCCTGCCTCAGACCCTCAAATGTCAGGATTATAGGCACACACCTAGCCTACTAGATGCATTTTAGAGTATACACAATACTGAGAATGTGGTTGGCAATATAAGCCTCTTTATTGAAAACAGTTTGATACTAACTGAACATGAATTGTTTACATAAAAAGATGGCACTTAGGAGAAATCTCATTCTCAGAACAGGTTGCTTGGGGATCATGTTGTGTTCTCCTTTGTCTTTGTTTCCTGAGTCACCTTTCTATGGCACTGAATAATTTCCGCTGAGGGACTGGGAAGGATTGATATACAAGTACTGCTTTCAGACATTGCAGACTGTCCTAGATAATTCCATAATTTCTGTAGTCATTTCTCTTTTAGTCTGTACTCATCTCATTCTCCTTCCTTTAATTTCTTGATCTGAGTTCTCCTTGCTAATTGACTTTTACTGCCATGCCACTCATGTACTAGTACTAGAAGTCAGTTTACTCAGTGAGTGATAGAATTTCCCCCACACCCAAAAACTTCCTCAAAGAAAAACATCATTGTAAATGACAAAAACTCAAAATATAGACTAAAGTGTGTTTATTTTAGAACATTCAGAAAGTGCATAAAAGTCAGAATTACTTCAACCACAAACATTTATTAAATACCTGCTGTATGCAGATGTTTAAAACTGAAAGAATACAGAGATGTTTAAAACTCTGGTTTGTGTAGTGCATTTCAGTGTTGATGGTAATTAGGTTTAATACTCAGGGTCACCAGCAGGGCTGTTGACATCTTTGTAGTACTTTCTGTTGTTTGCAACAGAACTTAAAGTGGTACAAGCAAATGACCAAAAGCAACAACAACAAAGATAAAGCAAGGTGTGCTCCTACTTTCCCATTAAGAAAAGGCCATGAGGATAGTGGGAAAGGCTTTTCCAAAGGTCATCAACTTGCTGATGGTAAAGACGGAATCAAAAATCTGTTCTCCTACCCCTTAGGGCACTTCCTCTCCTCTGCTATGTTATTGAAATTTCAAGAGTAATTTGGCTCACTTTATTTCCATTAGCCTTCATATGAATCTTTACTGTAACTCAATTGTAGTCAGTGAAGACACATTCATATTTGTGTGTTCTGGTCTAGATTCTGAAACCAAATTGAGTGCTTATGCACTATTGCTCTTCTTAGTCAGGTGTCAATAGTGAATGTAAGTAAGAACTATAGGATATGATTTGATTTTCTTTTGTTAGAGTATCTTTATTTATTTTCTCTGTCAAATATATTGCTTGTTTATAACAACTATATAGCATGAATGAGATGAGATTATAATTATCAACCATGGAATAATGCTTTCAGATTAGTCCTATCCTTTGTTTTGAGCACATGACCCATAGTTTTAATTCTGTTTTGAAGACATTTTTTAAAACCAATTAATGCTCTCTTTTCTTAATCCTGTAGCCATTTTTATCACTTACTATTTATGACTTGTCTCTCCTGTGTTATAAACATTAGAGTTCTTATACTAGTGTTTCTACTAGAGTAAGTTCTTAACCACAGAGGCACTGGCAAATTTATCTTTATTTGACCTGTAATATTTTGTAGAATGAGATACGGCTTATGGAAATGCTTTGAAAACTCTTAGACAGTTAAAGACAGTGAACAACAGACATCTAGTAGATGCCTGTCTTCTGCTATGTCGTTGGGAGTTGTGCCTTGAATTTCTCTTGCTGTATTGTAAAATTTGGTTCATTTGGGCTAATGGAACTGTCCTCTCTCCTAGTGTGTTGATATAGTCCTAGGAGGGGAGGACTACAATCAGAACAACATCAACCAGTGGACTGCAAGCATAGTGGAGCAATCTCTAGCACATTTGGTTAAGCTTGGAAAGGCCTATAAGTACATCGGTAAGTACTGATGCGGTTGTCCTTCTTTTGTCCTTCTCATTTTCTCTGAATTTGGGGGATCTATCTGAGTGTCAGGCACTATAGTTGAATACTAATGTAGGAAGCACTTCTGACTTGTCCCTTTGAATGTAATACACAATGAAGGGTAAAAATGGAGGTCTTTCGGTCTAAAGCAGTTTAAACTGTCTTCCCTTGGTAGCATCAGGTCTCTTTGTCCACTGAGACCCTTCAGTGCTGCCTTCCTGTCAGCCATACATGCCTCTGTATAGACCTGTGAAGGTGCACAAACCAAGTACAAAAGTGAAATAGCCCCTGCACTTCTATCTGCAATGGCACAGAACACACAATTTGACCAGGAATTTTTCTGCAGTGCAATTGCTGGCAGTTATAGTAATGGTTCATGAAATGGCTGACGCTCATGAAGTTCATGATGATGGATATTCAAAATAAGAGACTATTTTAGTCTACTAGCTGAATTATTTTTGTGTTGCTTTTTTTCAGATTTTAGAATTCTAATGCAAATATTTCAACCTTGATTCTTTCCCTTTTTCAGTAAGTGTCATTCTGTGACTTTTCTTTGTAGTGACCTGTGCTGTGGTCCAGAAAAGTGCATATGGATTTCACACGGCCAGCTCATGTTTTTGGGATACTACATCTGATGGTGAGAGACTGTAAATGAATTTACCGAGAATCAAAGTTCCAGCGAAGTTCAGTCTGGATTTATTATGTAGCTTTACTTAAAGTCAGAAAAAAATATTGTATCAATAGAATTGCTTTGTATGTACTAACAAGTATGATTTCAAACCAGTATGAAGTAAGAGGAGGAAATATTACTAAAAGTGATGTGTGTGATTGCATTGGTGAGTGAGTGTGTGTGTGTGTGTGTGTGTGTGTGTGTGTGTGTGTGTGTTAGTGCCTGATAATTTTGGTATTTTGCTGATCTATCAATGTTTTCTTCTTGTATGCTTTCAGGAACCTGTACTGTAAGATGGGAGAACCGAACCATGAACTGCATTGTTAATGTTTTTGCAATTGCAATTGTTCTGTAACCCACTAAATAGCCATTAACTTAAGTTTGTTAGTGTGTCCTTTCTAAAAAGAGTAATAATGACTTATTAATGTACTAGATGACAAGTGTGCAATATGCTTTAAAGATATCAGCAAAAAAACTGAATATTGTAAGCGAAAGTCTAATAAATAAGAACTTGGCAGGTTATCTCATATTCTCTACAGATTAATTTAAAGACACAAATGCTAGCCAAAAATTAATGCAGAAATATTATCTGACATAAATGCTATGTTTATACAAGTCTTTCACTACCATTATGCACCCATATAGATGGTATAATCTATTTAGATACCTATATTATCTTTAAACTAGAAAACTTAACAGGGATAAATAAATAAGTGAACAAAACGACTGCAATGATCAGTGCAGAGAAAATTGCATGAATTAGCTAATAACTCTCTTACTTATTTTAATTTATTTCTGTCATTGCAATATAAAATAGTTCATGAAAAGTAACTTTGACACCCACCACCACCTGCATCTAATGTTATAGTAGCAGCTATGACTAACCTGTTTGCTTTTCCACGGAACTGGCAAATCCATTTTTTGTTTTAATAACATTTTCTTGCATTTACATTTGAGGTGGAATTAAATGATAACCAGATTTTTTGGTTAAGTAAAATGTGTTAAGTATGTGGTCAACAGTGTATGACTCAGATAACTGCCTTACAATCTACTTATTCCATGAGGAACATTATCTGTTGAATGCCTGTTCTGCATATTTCTTTGTCAGACATGGCAACTCTCAACTTGATGTTCATGTTGTTTCTTTTGGTAGCTGTTCAGTTGGAAAACGGGTATCTCTGAAGAAGAGCTGGAAAAGAAAAGACTCTGTACCTTCATGGAGAACTAACCATAAGGAAATCACTAATTGGTGACAGAATTAGAGATATAATTTTAAGGGTTGCTTCTGACAAAGTAAAATACATAAAATATGCAACTCGTACTTAAAGGCCTTAATAGTAGTCTTAGCTATACAAATAAAATTCTATCATTGCATTAGTTACAGCTATGTGTGCATAATTTAAAATACTTATGTGGAGTTAGGACTGAGTGCAGTCGACTACACATTAAAAGTGAACAATCATTAGCAGGTTATCTAATATCTCAGGGTTTATGAAGAAAATCAGTTTATTAAGAAAATCAGTGATAAAAATTAGGGTACACAGCTAGTCACCAAATGCGAAGTCAGTCTGCCATTCAACCTTGAAAATGAAATCAATTTTACATGTCACCACTGACATCCAATCCATGTAAGAACTGGAATCATGATTCATTGAAATTTTAGGGTAAAGAAAAGTTTAGTATTAATGGTGACAATATTAAGACAGGATTCTTGTATGAGTACTACATGCATGGTTGACATTTTGCTGAATAACTGTAATGGCAAGAATGCAAAGATCGGGTTTAATGCAGTGATCTGTGATGATTTTGGCACATCAGAAATTCCTTGTCATTACCTTTCTGTTACTTTATGCTGCTGGCTCTTGTACCTCTGGAAATTATAATAGTGACCAAATTATCTGTGCAGTTAAGGCTTCTTTCTGATTACTGTTGTGGAAGCCTCGTTTTCAAATAAATCATACCTCGTGAGCTTGCTATCTGCTGTTTCTAGTTAAAATATAATAAAGACTATCTTACTGTGCTGTATATTTGTCTCTGGTTTTAATTCCATGCTCAAAAAATCAGGATTGTGCTTACTTTTACCATTTCCTACCAGGATGAATGGAGGAGGAAAACAAATGTGGGACCACATAAATATATTACAAAATAAATATATGAATATACATGTGGGTATGAAGCAAGAAGATCAATAGTGTAAGGACAGACCTAGCAAATGTGTGTTTCAAAAATATTGCTAGCCAAATCTAGTCATTACAATATAATGAATAGCTTCTATTTCAAGCATTGTATGTTTTTAACACAAAGTTAGTGAAATGCATTATGTAACTGTGAACCTTTAATGGTTATTTTTAAAAATTAATTTTGATACTATTTGTCAAATTGCAAATAAGCTGTTGCTTCTTGTAAAAAAATTGGGGACTTTAAGTAAAATTAGAGTATTCACACGTAATACTCTAATAAATGGGTAATTCAGTTAGTGTAAGCACTGACTGCAATGTTTTGAGGAGCTATAATTTTGGGTTTGTGAAGTCCTAATAGACTGCCTAAGTAGTGGCAACATCTCATTAAAGAGCATTTTTCTGTCCTTCTTCCCATGTTGGGTGTTAATGATGAGTCATTGGGTGGATTTCACCGCCTGCATCCATCATTGCATTTTATAATGATCTTATTGCTGCATTTTAAAAGTCTGAGTAAAAGTAGTTGCATATTATTGATAACAATTATTTAAAAATATGAGAAAATATGACTATTTAGGGTGAAGTGGTTAAGTCTCTTCTATGGCACATCTCAAGGCAATGTGTAAGATGAATGAAATTCTTTCTTCATGTGCTGGGATCTGTCCAAAGTGTTGGGATTACAAGTGTGCTCCATCAGGTCCAGACCCCTACCTTATATGTGAATCAGTTAGGAGATGTGAACAATATGACAATAAAAATCTATTACCGTTCTGTTCTATATTGGGAGTTTCGTGGGGAAACTGTCCTCTCATATTAAATTCCAGTATGAGAATTCTCACTCAGATAAAGGTAAGAACATGCTGCTTCTGGGAAGCCAAATACAAAAAGCAAGGGAGACAAAGGCCCTCCACCTCCCAAAGGCAGGAGTGAAGGAGGAAAGAAATATCAAGACTGTTACAGGAACAGATGATTATGTGCATAGAAAACTACAAGATAAAAAGCAAACACTGTAAGTGGGGATTAGGCTGATCCCTTAACACTTGATTGGACTGACTCAATTTCATAGTTTCTAGTAGCTCTAGGCTTCTACTAGCTCCTTCAACCCCTCCTATAACTTCCCATCTGCCCATACATACTTATTCTACCAATAGTCAATGAGCAAAGAGCAGGGGCTGAAGTCTGCTACAATGTGGGCTCAAGTCCAAGTCAATACTGGGTGCAGCTGCCACAGTTGTCACCATGCTAATAGGGACCAGATATTTAACAACTGAATTAATGTCCTATGAATCATCAGTAGGTTTTTTTATGGAGACAATTTAGCGACATCTGTCACTTTTTTGTGCTTCTGTCATGTGAACAGTTGTTTGGCTCAGTGCTACAGAACTAATAGCACGGTTCATGGAGGGAAAGGGCAAATAAGGCTTTTCTCTTTGATATGGCTCATAAATGTGAAAAGAAGGCCAGGTATGGCGTTACATAGAGGAAGTTGAAGCAGTAGGACTGTGTGTTTGCGGCCATCCGAGCTACATAGTATGCTGTAGGTCAGCCTGAGCTACATAAGAAGGCTCTTAAAAGTGAACAAAAAGAGAAAGCCAGAGTGTCCACCATGGAGAAGAAAGGGGAAAGTCATACTTTTGCATAAAGCAAATTACATGGGTTGAGATAGTTAAACAACTATTAAATTTAAATGAATTAATTAGGAAGCCTGAATATAAAAACAGTATAATAAAGGACTAGAATGGTCTAACAAAGTATGTGACTTCCATCTTGCCTCCTCTTTGTCCTCCACATCTGAATCTACTCCCAGAGGGTAAATGCTGGCATTTTGTTGTATATGATTCAGGCTACTGTTTTGCATCGATATATTGACTATATTGTTTTACAGCTATGTGTGATGTGTAAGTGCAGAGTGCTCTTTTTAAAGTGTGTTAAATGTAGGGCTACAGAGATGGCTCAGTGATTAGGAGCATTAGCTGCTCTTCTAGAGGACTCTGTTTCAACTCCCCGCGCCAGCGTGGCAGGCAGCTCACAACGGCCTGCACCTCCAGTTCCAGATATCCAGTGGTCTCTTCTGGCTTGTATGGATACCAGGCACATGCACAGTGTACATATGTACATGCAGGCAAAATACCAACACACATAAAATAAAAATAAGTGGCTCTTAAAATATAATAAAACAAGGGTTTGTAAATGTTACATTGGGGAGGGGTGGCTCATGTGTGCTATCATGGCTCACATTTGGAGGCCCGAGGACAACTTGTAGAACTTGGTTCTTCTATCTTGTAGCTCTCAGGGATCAAACTCAAGTCATTAGGTATTGATGTTTAATAAGGATCAGGAGAAACAAATAGGCCGAATAGATTTTTATTCAGGGAGAAATAACTCACAACATAGACAGATGAACACCAGCAGGTTCCTGGTCCCGAGAATGCCTCTGGATATACTCCTGTCCAAGTGCTGCAAGCAAGAGAGCTCTCCGAGTTCCCCCAGGTCATGTCCAGCCCCCAATGGGTGTGGTCTATGCCACAGGTGTGGTCAAGGTGAATATCTCACTACAATTCCCCTTTTAGTCTAAAGAAAATATTTGGGCTATTTACAAAAACTATATACAAAACAATGAATAATAAGTGTGCTCTAAGACAAGGAAAATCAAGAACATACACACTTAAGACCTAACTATCTAGTTTTAGGGTGAAGTCGAAACGGGGTTTACAATAGAGTTGTCCTAATCTGGAAAGCTTAAGTCTAGTACCTAATATATCTAACTAGAAAGAGAATAATAGTTGCGATAATTTAATCTTCAACCTCATCAAATACCTGAGAAGGAAAATAACAATACTAGGGTAGGCAGGAAGTACGGATTGGCCACTTCCAAAAGGTGCAGCAAGGACAGAAACAGCAGGCTACCTGGACAATCACCCAAGGTCTCACAGCAATATTGGTACACCCAGTATTGGCTAAGGCCAAGAGAACTTGACAGACCACAACAACAGCAGGGAGGTAAAAAGGCTGTCTTACCCTGACTTGGCAGGGTTCAGCAGTCTTCTATGTTTGTCTCCTGCAAGCACATAGGACTGCATGTCCAAATCAGTGGTCAAGGTGGGGACAGTTCTTTGCCCAAGAGGCCATTAGCTGAAGCAAGGATGGACTCCAGAAGGAGCGCGACAACAGTGTCCAACATTTTTCAGGAAAGTGCACGGTGCTGTCAGGATCAATAGTGTCTCATGTCAACGAAGTACTAATATTAAAACATTTAAATGCCATGTTCTGCATGTCTATGAAGTGATTGAAGATTAAGCATCTATATCTGACTAATCTCATAGGTATAGGAAACATGGGTGAAGATAATCTGTAATACTCAGGAACTTAGCTAAAAAAAGATGATGGGAGATGCCATTATGTATATATGTTTTTCATACTGGTTAATAATAAAGCACTGTTGGCCAATAGGAAAGGAAGATAGGAGGGACTAGGAGACAAGGAGGAAATAGGAAGTAGTAAGGAGGAGTCAAGATGGAGAGTCTGAAGAAAGCAGTATGCCGCCGGCTCCCCGGTAAGAGAAAAACATAGATCAACAAAAATGGGTTAATAATTAAGACAGAGCTAGCCGATAACAAACTAGTAACTGGCCAACATATAATATCTAATACAGAGTCTCTGTGTGTTATTTTGGGGCTGGCTTGGTGGCAGAACAAGAGCCGGCGGCGGGTAGAAAACCCCCACGTTGGGCGCCATTTGTAAGGAGAATGGGTTTTTCTACCCGCTGCCGGCTCTTGTTCTGCCACCAAGCCAGCCCCAAATACTACACAGAGACTCTGTATTAGATATAATGCTGTTGGCCCTGTTACTTGTTTCTTATCGGCTAGCTCTGCCTTAATTATTAACCCATTTCTGATGATCTATGTACCTGCCCAAGATTGCTTCCACACTTTTTTTTTATTTTCTGAGGCAGGTTATTTTCTGTGTAGCTTTGTAGACCAGGTTGGCCTTGAACTCACAGAGATCCTCCTGCCTCTTCCTCCCAAGCGCTGGGATTAAAGGCATGCACCACCAGTGCCCAGCTAAGATTGTCATTTTTATATAACATTTTACTTATGGATTTTTTTCCTCTCAGTGTGTAAAGTCTCCTTATTGAGCTTAGGTATAGTTTATTCGCTTTGAACATATAGGTAGTATCCCATGTTCCACTCTTACAAAAAAAAATCTGCTTGTGAAAATATTTGCACAAATCCCTCAGTTTCCATGTAGAGATTATTTTCTAAAAGAAGAATTACTGGATAATCAAATATGTAAAAGTATGCTGGGTTGTGGTGGTGCACACCTCTAATCCCAGCATTTGGAAGGCAGAGGCAGGTAGATCTCAGTGTGCTCAAGGAGAGCCTGATCTACATAGTGAGTTCCAGGACAGGCTTCAAAGCTACAGAGAAACCCCAGTCTCAAGAAACAAAAACAAAAACAAAACTCAAAAAAGCTATGTAAAAGTAACAAATTGTCCTTATGATTCTTTTTAAAGATTTATTTTTATTATTGTTTTAAATTATGTATGTAGGTGTCCCTGGAACTGGAGTTACAGACAGGTGTTAGCTGCCAAGTGCTGGAAACTGAACTTGTGTCCTCTGCAAAGGAGTACATGCTGTTAACTGCTGAGCTATCTCTTCAGGCCCATGTGATGGTTAGCTTTGTCAACTTGGTTGCACTGGGAATTGTACAAGGTTCATGGAATATACTTATGTATTTCCAGAGGGGGGAAAAACATGAAGGTCAGCAGTAGCCAACTCTGAGGCCCTAAATAGATAAGAGAGGGAAACAGAATACCAGCACAGATATCTGCCAATGCCCTCGTGCCAC